AAAAAGCGATTTAGAACCTTTTCATTCTAGACCCACGACGTATGAATGCGTAATTTTACGAGCTATTAAATTTAAAAGTAGCAATCCTAGTAAAATAACGAGGGTTAAAGCCCATTCGCAGCTGGGTCGTGTATTGTTGTCGCGCATGGGCGTGGTAACTATGGTTACAACTGGTAGCCAATATGGTTCAACGGTTGAGCTGTAGTCCATAGGTATACATTACACTAATAGACGGAACATCCGCATGTGCAATTGCGTTTGTACGCGATAGAGACTCTTACAATATACTTAAATACAGATGCAATAACAATTGTTGTAAAATTGAAAAAATCTAGTTCTCTATGTGCAAGTGTACCTACCTACGTGGTACACCAAGATCTCAGTAGACTTTTTTTCATCAAGATTTTCAAGGAATAAATTTGAGTTAAATTGATTACGTTGCGTGTCGGTTCAATATTAAGCATTCGAAAAGTTACGCGTGTGTTACACGACTTACAAGAATACCGATCAGTATCAGACTCAGACTCCGGTACTAGTTGGTACTCGTCGGTACAAAATATATTTATTTACCACGCTTTTTAAGATTTTTTTTTGAAACCTTGTATCTCGAGGAGTTTCATGCCGACGATGCAAAAATAAATTGAGGAAATCATTATTTTATGAGTTATAGCAAATTTGTAAAGTTATATATTATACATTTTTATAAATGTGTACAACAGACTTGCCGACTTTTTCTTCTTGAAAATCTTGCATGTTCCTCAGAAGTTAAGACTTCAGATAATTTCTTAATTGTGCTGTGTGACGACTGACGGCTATTACGATTTACGATTTCTAAAGTTGATGATACTTTATCGTAGAAAAATTTACGAATTACAAACCAACCAATTATAAACAAACCGTAAATTTAAAACCAACCACCTTAACGAGTTTGCACCGTTACTAGACGTCGACGATACCTACTGAAAAAAGTATTAAACAAGAAATCATCGCCAGTTAAATAGACAATGGTATAGGAACAATAACCCCTAATTTTGATATTTTTGTTGTTACGTATGCACCTCAAAGCTCTAGTTCAGTGACCCCTAAAGGCTCTGCCAACAGAACGCGTTATAATGCCAGTTAAATCGGTAAATAGCTCGTCGGCGCGGTGCTGTACATTTTCACGGCACACACAAATAAATAAATATATTTTATTTTTTGACTATACAAACTGCAGGTAAATTATAATCGATACCTAGTGATTTCGGGTAAAACCAAAACATAAATAATCATCAGCATATTTACGTATAACTTTTAAACTTAGGAGGACGCCAAACCCGCATGTTTTATCTCCGTTTTACAAACTCTTGACATACCAAATTTACGCTCAGAAATTCACGTTTTATTTAGTTAGCTTAAATATTAGAGTGAATAGACCTACTATGAAACTTGATGGTAAGTACAACCGTGGAATGGAAAAAAAACCATGTGCATATTATAACGATATTCGATACTAAATATTATATTACATTAGGTGATACACATATTCATCAGTATCTAACAAATAATAAATCAAGTAAATATACTCAGGATTGCATATTATTAAGATTTAAGATAACTCACCGATTATTATAATAATAACATGTTCTAATGTTCTTTAATCGACAGCCTGCTGTAGCATATTTTATAGCCAATGATAACATTTATGAATTATCATCTATAAAAAATTAAGTACCAATATTAAAATGTAATTTCACACATTTTTGACATTCAGTTAATTTTTAAATGTAATAACACAACTACAGTTCTAGATAAAACATCACATTAATGACATAAAAAAAAAATTTTTAGTAGTAATATTTAATTACCTATCGAACAACAAAAACGGTGAAAAACGGGTAAATAAATGTTTTACAACACATGAAAATTTACCGTAATTTTTTCTCAAAAGTTAGTATAAATTAATAAATTCAAACAATATTACTATCGAGTACAATATGCATTTATTAATAAGTTGTTAACATTATATGAATATTAAAAAAAAATATCCATAGGTAAATTTTACTTTACAAAAATAAATACATATTCATATAATCTGTTAATCCTTTCACTACTATTAGCGTATGTATGAGTGCTCTCATTAAAAAAAAAAAAAAAAACAAATATTATTTTGATAAATGTGGCAACATGAACATATTGTGGTAAATTATTAGGAAATTCCTATGAAAACACCAAAAATAAAAATAATGTTCAATAAGCCAAAAAAAAATATAAATTATTTATATTTGAACCATAATAATAAGCAATACAAAATAAAAAAAAAAGGTGGGCAAGTGGGTGTCGCTCTGCTGTACAGTAGGTTACAAGTGGGTCACTGTATAATGGATGATATTAAATTTGAATTCAACGATATAATATCATTGTATAAGAAAAACGATTCTGAGCGGATACGGTATGTCAGTCTAGGTAAAAGACTTATTATATTTATATGTACATATCTATGGTACTAAACCAAAATTTGACCTATAATAGGTACCTATAATGAATTCCAAATTAATCATATCACAATATCCATTAGGTACTTATAACCATAGGCGCACATAGGGGTGTGCTTGGGGGTGCTTAGCACCCCCAAGCTTCAAACTAGCACCCTCAGTTTATTTCAGTATTTCACCAATCAATTATAAACTATCGTGGTTTATTGGTTTCGGAATTTTTCTTTTCATTACAAATATTGACAACTGTTTACGAATTCATGATTAAAACAGTATTGTGTGAATGCATGTTTCAGAGTTTCAGTTTTTGTCAAAACATTAAACAGTATGCACTATGCAGCAATCATATTATATCATATCACTATAGAAAATTATATTATCTTACGGTTGGCTACGAAATGTTCTACTTATAACTTTGGTTATTACTAATATATTTATTTTTTCTGTGGGCCACGCTGAATTGAATAAATTCGGAATGACAAATATTATTAAGAGGATGTTACACCCGCATTGTGTGGTCTCCGTTTTACAAATGTAAAACATAGAAAAACGGTTTTGCTCTGATAAGAACCACTAACTCTATAGCTCAAGTTATGCAACCTAATGTTCCTACTAGAAAGAGGAGAACATTGAATGTGAAACATTGTTTTAATTTTTCGATATCACAAATACGAAAAAAGTTCTTAGTTTCAAATTCAAAATTAATTATTTTTAGATTCTGAGTGGAACGTATTGATTTTACAATGATGTGTGTGTTTTTTTTTTTTCCCAGTAGTTTTTTAAAAACTCGATTTCTCATGTAGCGATGTCCTTATTTTGTTGTAATTCAAAAACGAATAACTGTAGATACATGCAAATTTCACTGAATGTTTATATTAGCATTTCCTATACACCATACAATTATGAAAATATTTTGACTCTTTTTGAGCTGTTTATGGACATTTACAGCTTTCAATTTTTTTTAGTTTTTTTTTCTATAAATATCAATAAAGTTTTATCTGTTGGGCCAAAAAGTGTAAAAATTTAATACAAGGCTCCTGGTATATTGTTACAATATCAGTTGAAAAATATTAAAAATACATAGGCACAGTTTTTTTTATAAGCATTGAAAGATCAAATTTTGACAAAATTTATCAAAATCTCGAAAATTATCAATCATTGTAATTAATAAATTATAAAATGTTCAGTTTTTATAGCTAAGGATTGCAAATTCAACACAAAGGTTCTCGTAAATAGTTCATACTGTAACCAAAAAATCTAAAAAAATATGAACACAGTTATTTTTTACAGACATTTTAAATTCAAATTTGGACGAAATTACATATTAAAAAACCTAGAATAACTATTTTAGTTATTTTGTTGTGATTGAATAATATTATTCGTGGGTACTTGAAACTTCTAAAGTGTACTGTTATATATCTATGATAGTATCACGGTTTTTGTTGATGTATAACGCTTTACCAGTACCTAATGGATTTTGTGATATGATTAATTTGGAATTTATTATAGGTACCTATTAGAGGTCAATTTTTTGTTTAATACCATAGATATGTATATAATATGTCTTATACATAGACTGACATACCGTATCCGCTCAGAATCGTTTTTCTTATACAATGATATTATATCGTTGAATTCAAATTTAATATCATCCATTATACAGTGACCCACTTGTAACCTACTGTACAGCAGAGCGACACCCACTTGCCCACCTTTTTTATTTTATTTAATGAAAGTACTTTTTCTTGATGTTCCTGCTAATTATTATGAATATGAAGATGTCACTTAAAGAAACTATTTTTGAAAAAAAAATAAATTTTTGAATTTGTAGCAATATTTTACATTCTTTGTAAATTACTAAAATCTTTTGGCTATATTATTTAATATTGGATAATTTATTACCTTTTGATAAGGCACGTGGCCGCCTCGGATGAAGTTTAGTGAGCACTGCAGTATTATGGTTACCAAATTAGTTCCAACAATTTAAATTGGTTTCAATTTCAAAATTATAGATTTCAAATTTTGGCTGAATTCATACACAATACAATAGAATTGAAATTAAAGTATGAATATCCAACTGATAGAGTTCATTTTAATGAACATATCAATGATAGTAGTATTAAAAGATCTATTTTGGCTTATTTTCCCTGTCGAAAAAATATAGCTTTCCTAGTAGTGCACATGAAGATGGTAATGCCTATAAATTCTCTTATTACTTTTACTCAATGACATTAAAAACTGGTATTAAAGTTCAGAGATTTTGGTTGTGTTACTCAGTGGGATAAATGAAATTGAGGACATTTTTTTTTTACACTTTTTGGCCCAACCAATAAAACTTTATTGATATTAATAGAAAAAAAAACTAAAATAATTGAAAACTTAAAATGGGCCCCTATTAGGGGGATTCTCGATGGCGATAAAAATATATAAAGTGCGACTAGCCCAAATGTCAAAGATGTTCTTGTTGAACGTAGTCGAAACGGAACCACTGGTTAGCCTAGTTGCAAGGACCTGTTGTTGGGTGCCATGAAGTACCATCTGTTGCCGGACCAGAGATCCGATTTTGCTAGCAAGCAGACCGAACAACGGAGCCCAGACGGCCTGATGCCATACATATTCGCTATTGGTGAGCATTCGACGAAGAAATGTTTATAATATTTTATATACCTGATTATTTTTTGTTCAATGCTTTATTCTGTAATCGAATAATATTATATTTTATTGTTGAATAGGCAGCGGTAGTTTGTTCACTATACACAGCGCTGGTGAGTGTTACAACCCTAGACACGACCGTTGGCTACCGATTGCGCCCATGTCCAAATGTCGAAGTCATGCGGGTATGGGATCGCTGGGCAAATATTGATCTACGCTATTGGACGGTATACGTATAACCTCTCAGTTGTATATTTATTATTATATCTATCTATGCCAATTGCTTGCACTGAGGTACTAGAAGCTATATTCGATTACAAATGCTGCAGAAATGCGTATGTCAGTATGTCAGTCTAGGTATAAGAAATATTATATACTTATCTGTTTTACCTATTAAATTATATGGAATTTATGAATAAATTATTCATCGCCCCTTAAAATATGCACAGTCTTATCATTGAGCATACTTCTTCTTCCTTATACTATGGTAGATTGTATGGATAGGCCATAATATTTTTTTTTTTTAGTTTCATATATCCCCGAATAATATTTTTAAATTATAACAAAAAACCAAGATCGTTAATATTGATTTTAATATGTAATTTCGTCCAAATTTGAACTTAAAACTATAAAATTAACTGTGCTTGTGTATTTTTTAGTTTTTTTGGTAACACAATCAACTACTTCCGTGGAATTATGTTTTAATTTTCAATCCTTAGATATAAAAGTTGAACATTTTATACATTTTTAACTACAAAATAATTATTCAATTTTAAATTTGATAAATTTTGTAAAAATTCGAACTTTAAATACTTATAAAAAAAAATTGTGCCTATGTATTTTTAATATTTTTCAACTGATATTGTAACAATATATTAGGAGCCTTGTATTAAATTTTTACACTTTTTAGCCCAACAGATAAAACTTTATTGATATTTATAGAAAAAAAAACTAAAATAATTGAAAACTGAAAATGTCCGTAAACAGTTCAAAAAGAGTCAAAATATTTTCAAAATTGTATGGTGCATAGGAAATGCTAATATAAATATTCAGAGAAATTTTCATGTATCTACAGTTATTCGTTTTTGAATTACAACAAAATAAGGAAATCGCTACATGAGAAATCGAGTGAATATCCAATATTGTAAAAATTTGAATCTCAAACGCTCATAAAAATTTAATTTGACTGTCCGGTAAAGATTTTTTTATTGATAAAGGTAGACAAACTTATGAGTAATCTTGTATTACATTTTCAAATCATAGATTTAAAAAGAAAAATTTTTACGAATTCTTAATTCAAAATAATTTGCTAATTTTCGTGATATTTCCATATTTTGTCAATTTTTGAACTTTAAATGCTTATAAAAGAAAACTGTGACTAACGATTTTTAATATTTTTAATCTGCCTTTTAAACAATATACTAGGAACCTTATATTAAATTTTCAAGTTTTTTTAACCAACAAATAAAATTTTATTGATATTTCTAGAAAAAAAACTAAAAAAAAAATGAAAAATGAAATTGTCCCTAAACAGTTCAAAATAAATCAAAATTTTTTTGAAAATTTTATCTTGTATAGAAAATGTATATATAAACAACCAGTGAAAATTTCATGTATATACGTTCATTTGTTTTAGAGTTACATCAAAAACCAAAATCGATTTTTTGGAAAACCGATTTTGCGTAAAAATTCCCGTATTTTCTTCATTTTTATGTTGTTTTTCCCGGCGCTTGTGAAAACTACTGGGAAATTTATACTTTTTACACTCCAAAGTACCAACTAGATTCACTTTCATATCAGAAAAGCTTCTGTTAGAGAAATTCCAAGTACTTTTACTGTCCTAAAACGTGATGACAGACACAAAATCGTTTCACTCAGAATCTAAAATAAATAAAAAAATTAAAAAAAACCCACATCATTGTAATATCAATACATTCATCGTTCCACTCAGATTTTAAAATTATTGAAAAAAAAAATTATCTCAATAGTTTAAGACAACACTTAAAAATACATAATATTGAAAAACGTTTTCCATCGGTTTGTTTAGTCAGTTGACAATATTATCTCAATACGCACCTGTTTTCTTGTATACTCTGCAGATTTTCTAATTTTTCTGAACTAACAGCTCTGATGTAATTATTTGACGTGGGCAGACGTTTTTACATGCATCCACCAAGCAATCTAAGGGCCCCAGATTTGACACACAAACTTTTATCCCATAGCTATAGTTGAACGGATAGTTTTTCGGATGAAAACAAATGTGCCAACGCTGAGGCTAATTTACTATCTACTGTGAATGTTGTAAGCACATAAAAACGGTTTTCCTCGTTGTAAAATTGCTACAGGAACAGGATAATCACATTTTCTGCAATATGCACATTAATTAATAGTTTATGTTCAATTTAACATAATTAGTCTATCTGGGGCATAATGATACAAGTCATGTGGGGTTCTATTAAAGTATTACCCCAAAGTCTGGATATAAAATTTGAAAATAATATATCTATATTGTGTAATAATTGTATATTATATAATAATATAAGTTGGTACTAGGGATTTCTTTAATGTTTTTATTTTAAAATGTGTTAAATGTATCTACTTAAATAATTAATTTTATCAAACTCATATAACTCGTTTTAAAATAAATTAATATGCTCATTCCTATTATAAAAATTCGATAATATTTTAATTAAATATTCCTTACAAAGAATCTGTAGTACGAATAGAATACGTAGGTACAGGTATTTACTATATAACCACGTGTGAGACATGCACAACACACACGGCCTTTAAAACAAGATATTTATATTTGTTTCCTAGAATCAAACTTTGATTACTGAATAAAGAATATAAGTTACAATAAATTGGTTAATTGTAAATCATATTAAATTGTGTACCTACATTTTGAGACCACTCAATATACCATAATAAACTTGTCAGATGAGTTTCAAATTTAAATTATCTAAAGAAAATAGTTTATATTAATTATTATTTCTTTTTAAAATGTCAGTGCATTTTAAATAGCACGTTTGCCTGTTAAAAACAAACTAATATAAGATATGATGTAAAGAAAAATTCAATAAAAAATAATAATATTAAATTATAATACCTAGTTACAAAATATAATGATACTTATGATAATACTTTCAAATATTTTAATGATCTTCTTTCAGTGTTCAATAGTTCTTAACCAACCAATTTAAATCACAATAATAAATACTGTTAATTAAGAGTAGTTATTACATTCGAAAGAAAAACTTTCCTGTAAATTCCTAACTTCTATAATAAGAATTAATACTCAAGGCAGTCCTTAGGGAAGGGTGAGTGGAACACAGTTGCTTTTGCCACAGTTGGACAGCTTTTATAGATACAATTAAAAAAGTCAAGTTAATGAGCAAAAAAAAAAGTATATACATTTTTACTACCTTTACTTCTACCAATATTAGTTGACAAAAAAAAAATAAATGTATCGAGTTTTAAACGAGTTAGTGATCAAAATTAAATTTTCAAAACTGAAAATTATAAAAATAACGAAACACTCTGTCCCAAAAAAAAGTCATACACATTAGCTATAATATCTAAAAAAAAAAAATTGACAACCACTAAAATATAATTAAATTATTGACACGTATATTGGATTTTGATTTTACAATGATGTGTGTTTTTTTTAATTTTTTTTTATTTTTGTGCCTGTCATCACGTTTTAGGACAGTAAAAGTGCTTGGATTTTCTTCAATAGTAGCTTTTCTGATAGTAAAGTGAATTTAGTTGGTACTTTTGTGGGTCAAAAGTAAAAATTTCTCAGTAGTTTTCAAAAGCGCCATGAAAAACAAAAGAAAAATTAACACGTTGACGACTAAACAATTATTTTTTAAGATAATATTATCTTAAAAAAATCTTCAAAAACACGGTCTTCGTCCTAAATGTGTTAAGGAAAAACGGGAATTTTTACGCAAAATCGGTTTTCGAGAAAATCGATTTTGGTTTTTGGTGCAACTCTTAAACAAATGACCTTAGCTACATGACATTATGACTGAATGTTTATATTAGCATTTTCTATACACGATAACATTTTCAAAATGTTTTGATTTATTTTGAACTGTTTAGACACATTTTCATTTTCCATTTTTTTTTTTTAGTTTTTTTTCTAAAAATATCAATTAAATTGTATTTGTTGGTTAAAAAAGCTTGAAAATTTAATACAAGGCTAAAACTATATTGATAAGATGGCGTTTGAAAGATATTAAAAATCTTTAATCACAGTTCTTTTTTATAAGCATTTAAAGTCCAAAAATTGACAAAATATGGAAAAATCACGAAAACTAGCAAATTATTTTGAGTTAAGAATTCGTAAAAATTTTCTTTTTAAATCTAACATTTTAAAATGTGATACAAGATTCCTTATAAGATTATCTACCTTTATCAATAAATAAATGTCTATAAGGAAGTCAAATTAAATTTTTATGAGCGTTTGAAATTCAAATTTTTACAATATTGGATATTCACTCGATTTCTCATGTAGCGATTTCCTTATTTTGTTGTAATTCAAAAACCGAATAACTGTAGATACATGAACATTTCACTGAATATTTATATTAGCATTTCCTATACACCATACAATTTTGAAAATATTTTGACTCTTTTTGAGCTGTTTACGGACATTTTCAGCATAGGCGTGCGCACGGGAGGGGCAGGGTGGGCAGCTGCCCCTCCTGCGGGCTCAAGTTTTCTTACAAAATAACAAAGTTTTTAAAAAAATATTATAATACAGTTTTATATAATGAATATTATGTAAACATTGAGTGCTCGATGTACAGTGCACGATGATTTTATGTTGTCCAACTTTAAGCGAACCACAAGCGATACCGCGGTGATAACGAGTGCTTATAATCTTATTATAGCATGATGTAGATTGAGATGTGATGAGACATGAAAGTGAGTAGTAATTTGACGGCATTTAATGCGAAAAACGTTCACCGGAAGCGCTAAGAAGGTCGGTTCTTTAAATAATTAGTAATTAATAATTATAATAATTAGTATGCAGTATACGAACAAATATTATAGCTCTTTACTTCCGAAGCAATTTTCGGAATTTTTAGTATTTTAGTATTTTTATGCTCAACGTGTTGATTAAATCAGAATATACCTATCTTTTTTTTTAATGTGGTGTTTTATATTGAAATTAATTTTCTATTTATACTGTAACCTACAAATCAAATTGTTTATTATATACCTAATACTATTAAATACCTATAAAGTATAATTTATAAAACAGTTTAAATAATAGGTTACATGCCTACAATAATGTATAAATTTCAATATTACCAAAGAATAGAATATTATTGATACATTAATGCATGATATAATAGTGGTACTATTTTTGGAAAAATCATGTAAATGCAATACTAAGGATTTAAATTTTTTTTTAAATGTTGATATTTATAATATGTTCAACGTGTTGGTGCAAATAATAATTTACCTATCTTACTTACTTTTTTTGTAATTGTAAATAAAAAGTAAGTAGAATTAGTAAATTCAGATTTCACCAACACATCGGGCATAAAAATATATATGAATGCAGTGGCGGATCCAGGGCTTAATTTTGGGAGGGGCATGGGGGGCTCAAAAGTATATGAAAGTTCCAAAATTGGCTAAACACAGTGTAAAACAAAGGAAAACTACGGTTATTGGGGGGGGGGGGCAAATGCCCCCTTTGCCATCCCCCTGGATCCACCACTGTATGAATGTAATAATTTTCTTTGTTCATGTATATTAATATAATATAAAAAAACTTTGGAGTTTCAATTACTATATTAAATTTGTAGTTATTTGTAGTTTTAATGATACATAAAATGAAAATACTTCCATCACTTACATTAATTGAACTAATAACCAAAATAATATTTACTTACCTATATATTATATAATATACCTATAGGTACATTATTACATTCTGCCCCCCCTGCCAGCAAGGTCTGCGCACGCCTATGATTTTCAGTTTTCAATTTTTTTAGTTTTCTATTCTATAAATATCAATAAAGTTTTATCTTTTGTGCCAAAAATTGTAAAAATGTAATACGAGGCTCCTTATACAGGGTGTCCCGTGAGGATTTACCTATTAGCCGTAGAGGGGGACTCGCCGCCCGGACAAAAACCGGTTTTTTGCCGTTTTACTTATTAATTAAAAAAAATTATTAAAAATCAGGAAATTAATGAAATTAAAATGTTAATAACAATATTTTCAGAAAAATGAACTCTACAAAATGGCAATCTTCAATATTTTTTTAAATAATTTATTAAAAAAATAATTTTTTTAACTTTTTTACCAAAACATAAAAAAAAAATAAAAAATTAGTTATTTGTAGTGCTTACCTCTGTGAGTCTTAATAAGAAAACATAATTACGATATCTATATTATTTCAGGAGATATCGCAATGAGTAAATCCTCACGGGACACCCTGTATATTGTTACAATATCAGTTGAAAAATATTAAAAATACATAGGCACAATTTTTTTTATAAGCATTTAAAAGATCGAATTTTGACAAAATTTATCAAATTTAAAATTGAATAATTATTTTGTAGTAAAAAATGTATAAAATGTTCAACTTTTATATCTAAGGATTGAACATTTTAAACAAGATTGCACGTAAGTAGTTAGTTCTGTTACCAAAAAATCTAAAATATACATAAGCACAGTATATTTTTATAGTCATTTTAAGTTCAACTTTGGACAAAATGACATAAAAAAAAACTATGAATAACTATTTTAGTTATTTTGTTGTGATTGTGTAATATTATTCGTGGGTACTTGAAACTTCTAAAGTACACTATTATATATCTATGGGGTATGGACTATGATAGTATCAGGGTTTGTTGTTGACGTATAACGCATTATAAGTACCTAATGGTATTGTGATATGATTAATTTGGAATTTATTATAGGTACCTGTTTTAGGTAATTTATTTTTAATACGATAGATAAATATATAATATGTCTTATACCTAGACTGACATACCGTCTCCACTCAGAATCCTTTTTCTTATACAATGATATTATATCATTGAATTCAAATTTAATACTATCCATTGTATAGTGACCCACTTGTAACCTACTGTACAGCAGAGCACCTTTTTTTATTTTTTTTTCTGTCGTATCAACAATATTTTGGTTATTTACCCAGTAAAAATGCTCCGATCAGCCAGTTTTCTGACCCATGAAATTTTCAACAATTATTAAAATAGCATTTTCCATAAATGGTAACATTTTCGAAATATTTTAACTGTTTTTGAACTAGTTATAATCTTCAGAAATTTTTCGAATTTTGTAATTTTTTTTTAAGTTTTTCTCGATTAAAACTTTTTCACTTATTAAAAAAGCTTGACAATTTAACAGGATGTAAGCTCACTATTTGTTTTCTCTCGAAACCCTCTCGAAACAGAACATTTTTCGTTGACAATAATGGTTATAATCATATTATTTCTCAAATTAGAGTTATAAAACCTTATAAAATCTAAAGGTAACATTAATATTATTATTATCTATGGCATCTCATAGACTTTTTATTATATTTTAATTTTAAATCGAGTTATGATTATTTTAAAAATTGATTTTACATCATAAAATACTCTTAACTCGCTTAAAAAATGTAAATATAATAAAACACCTATGAGATGCCCTAGATAATAATCTTAGCTTTAAATTTTATAATAGGTAGGTCATTTCACTCTCATCAATGATCATCTACCAAACTGTGAGAAAGCTGAACGTCTTTGGAATGAAATTGAAAATCAGTATATTAACGCAATTAAGTATAGCTCAAAGAAAAATCAGAATTTTTACCAGATAATTTAGATCACTATCCTCCTAATGGTTAGTGTATCTTACATATAAAACTGTAAATCTGCTTAATTAAATCGGGTCAATTGTTATGCGTGGTTGCATTGAATCCCGAGAATTCTATTATTAAACATTTAAATCAATTACTGACTGTCATGACTAAATGTTGCCGTCGACCAAATCATGTGAGAATTATATAAAAATATTTAAATTAATAAATATTATTTCAAATTAAAATTTAAGTTTGTAGAGGTGCTTAAATTATGTGTTATTTTATATCACCAAGTATTTATCTGACATTTTTAATTTCTATAATGAGTGATACTGAACCGCATGCAGGTCATATGATCATTTTATCTGGAATATTTAAAAATGACAATTCAGTTGAATTATCAACGAATGTGAAATCTATCATTACTATTATGGAAAAATCCTAATTATGTCAAGTATATCATACTCTATTCAAAAAATATTAACCTCAAGTAATTGAATATGTATTAGTTGCTTGTGAATCAGCATGTCAAGAATTGTCTTACGAGTTGTTTAAAATGTACATAAGTATGCAAAGTACAACTTTTGATTCATTTCACAACAACTGTAAGTGTTATTTTTATAAATAAGAAAATGTACCTAGTGATTAAAATAAATATTATTATGTTACAAGTTACAACTGAATATTTAAATAACTCATTCAAATTGTCTACTACCTTTATGTGAATCTTTTAATACACAACATTTTTATAATAATTAGAGCCATATTCACAGTCGATGCTTAAGAAAAAGTATTGCTGAAGCTATATTTATTACTCAAATGAGATTTGTAAACTAAACTTTAGCTTAAGAAAAGAAAAAGTATTACTTAAATTAAAGTTAGTCGAGTCTTACCTTAAGCATTGCTTTTAGTTATTATTACAATTTTTTTTTTTTAATTATTAAAATTATCTTAAGCAATACTTATTCTTATTTCTTAAGCATCGACTTACTTAATGTAACAATCAAAGTACACGAAAGATGATGCTTTTACAACATAAATAAAAATGTTTACAATTTTTTATGTGTAAAGATTAATATAAATGTGCATAAAAATTTTCATTGTTGATAACTCAGTTTATATTGCGCATTGGCTCGGTACTAATAATATTTACCAGGTATTTGACTTAAATTATTCAAAATTAATCAAAATATTTAGATTTATTGCTTTAAAGTTTTAAATAAAGTTTAACTAGTGTATAAATTCAAAATTCTTAGTTGAAATAAAATGAAACATAAACCTAATTTTATAGGTAAATTTAGAAATTAAGTTACAGAAACTTATAATAATATAAAAAAATAATATAAAATAATGCAAAAAAATTAAATATGAATATGAAATGAAACAATCTTAACTTGTCTTATTTTATTTTTGAATCGCAATACAATTTGTTGGAACACCAGCTTCTGTGATTACGTGAACTTGGAGGTCATAAGCACTTGCCTTGTTTTTGATTACCTCAAAGTCATCAGGGTTTTTGTTCAACATAACCGTCAATACATCATCATTACCAGTATAAAACTCGGTGAAATGTGTATTGAATACTTCCCAAAATTCTGGAGCCAATTGTTCATTGTCATTCACATTGTTGTCATCTTTTAATATAATTGATTCAACGGTACGATGAAATTCTTTATCTTTTTGTAGTTTATCAAATTCCCCATGTATTTTTTCATTTTGAGGTTCAAGTTTCAATGCGATTTCAAGCTTTTTCTTCGCTTCTGTAAAATCTTTTAACAGGCGTAATGCTTTTCCCCAGTTGAAAAATAATTTTGTTGAGCGTTTGGAAATTCTTTCTGAATATTTCAATGCCTCTAGGCCCATACGACATACCTTATTAAACTCACATTGTTTTAAATAGCACAAGCTTAAATTTGTATAAAGAATATTCAAATAGTTCATCATTTCTGTTTCTTCAAAATCATTAACGCATCCAACTATATGTAGTAGTTCCAATGCCCGATTATATTTTAATACAGCTTTACCTATATTTTTAAGTTTAAAGTGTTCATTAGCTTTAAGATGACGTTTTTTAACTTCTACAAGATTTTTTTTAAATATAGCAGGATTACAGTTTTCTCTATCAAAGGTTATGATACGTTCAGGTGGACAATAGTAAACAAGATGTACATCAAATAGAATAGTTGCATTTGGTGGTATGCGAGGTGGGCAACCCCATTCTCTGTAAGCCAATTCTGGCTTTATTATAAACCTTGAATTTTCACCAAGAGTCATCGATTTTATACCAATTTCTAATCCTGGTAATAATTCACTATTACCCAATGTAAAAAGTTTAGGTCTTCTACCTTGAAGATGTGTTACATCAAATGGCTCTTGAAGGTTTGATATATAAGCAATATAATGTATCAAAACTACATAGTTTTCTGGTAAAACTTCACCAATTCCTGCAATACAAACAAAATATAAATTATAATTTATTCAATTAAAACTATATAATATATAGAAATTCACCGTATCTTCTAATTTAAAAAGATTATCAATGTAATATTATAAAATTAGGGTCCCGTATGTTAATGTAATTTATTTAGATAATCTTGGTGTTGAGGTTGAAAAAGGTTAGAAGCACATGTGTAGACAGTAATGATCTTAAGAATCTTAAGATGATACCAAACCTCATGCCTTGTCTTCATCTTACAAATGTACAATCAACATGGCAAATTTGAGTTTAAAAGAACAAATTATGTGTTATGAGTGAATGGTCCTATTACCAAACTTAAAATGTAAGAATATTATCTAGGGCAACTCATAGACTTTTATTAATATTTTTGTTTTAAAGTGAGTTATAACTATGTAATATTGTATACTATTTTAAAATACACATAAATCATTACTCATTTTAAAATTAAAATATCAATAAAATTCTGTGAGGAGCATAAGATAATTAATTGTTTACCTTTAAATTTAATAATAAAACAGTTGACTCAAATATTAAAGCAAACAACACAAAATTGGTTCTGAAGAATACTGCATTTCAATGTTGTATGTTTGTAAGACACAGGCCATAGGCATCATTACGATGAGGGGTATCAATTTCTACCCCCCAATTCCATCCACCAACTGCTCCGAGGTTAAATTAGCCTACATGTAATTGAATTTAAAATATTATTTAAAATGATTTACAACATATGACCACCCCTGATAGAGGCAACAAATTATATTTAAGGGAACGCTACACAGACATTTGTTGTCTCAGTCTTACAAGTATTTAACATAAGAAATTTCATGCTCAGAAGACCACGTTTAGCTCCGTTAGTTTGAAAGTTAGAGTGAATTGTCCTCTATTAACATTTTAAATTGTTTGTACATCTTAAAATACTTTTAATTTTCTTTAAAATTAAAATAGGTATAACAAAACTCTCCTATGAGATTCCTTAGATAATAATATTACTTTTAAATTTTAAAAGAGAACAAATATTTCATAAAGACATTTGCATTCCAACACTAAAATAATAATGTTGCTATTCTCGCCTACAAAACAACACACAAGACTATTAGTATTCACTCAAATAGTCAAATTCGAATATTACTCCCTATTATCCAAGCAAAATTGCAGGTAAACCACCCAGGCGCTTAAAAAGGATATGGTGTAGGTACCAACTCTCTCCTCAATACATTTCATGGGATGTTGTCAATGGACAACTTAACCTTCCTGTCAATAAACTTACATCAAATTTACCCATTATACTTGTAAATACAGATTGTAAATCTAGTCAATTTTGTTCATTAAAACTAAAAAAAATTATTATTATTAGTTTTAAAAATGAAAATACTGAGCACCAACACAATAATATTATTGTGAAAGATTAGAAAAACATAAATATTCCAACACTTTATGTTAAATTGTCACCTAAATTAAATTTAAAATACAATAGAACAACACATCATCTATACGATATAGGCCTAGTATTTTTTGTAAAATAATATTAGTTATTTCTTATATTTAACATTTATATTGTTTTGTTTATTTTTAATCAGTAACAAAAATTTAAAAAAATCCATGCTTACCCGGACTCAGTAATATTTTCAACACCTGGCGATCACCAGTAAGATCTTCGTGGTTTGTATTAGTAATGAGATGGTTGAAAGGCTCTAGATTGTCATCTTCCTCTCCTAATATATCAAAATTAATAAACTCAGCCAGCCGGGAGTCATAAGAAGAAAATGTTTCTTCAACGTCTTCGTCGGGTTCGTTTTTCACCGTAAAACAGACTCCATCCTGGTTATGATTGTTCATAAGTTCTTCCGCCGTTGCCTTGAGTACGCTAACTAAACTCTCCGGGACCCCGTCATTGTCATTGGCCATCGTGAACGTTTCGAATAGATCGGACTTCGAGTCTACGAGTGTCGCAACGTGCAAATGTAAACTATAATGTTGCGAGTTGGCGACTGGAAGGTCGTCTGGAACAAATTTGAATTTCAAAAAAAAAAATTATTGTTACAGCTTTAAATGAAACTGGAATTAATTAAATTTTTATTATTTATTTTAAAATATTTAAATATTAAAAATAATATATCCAGAATAAATTTGATCGACATGGCTTTACTGTTCAATATAAGAGATAAACTAAATAAAGAGAAGATTAAAAATACAGACTTATTAATTAATAGAATTAGAATGTATTACACAGGCTGTAATAAACAAAAAAGAGAAGACAGATGAAATTTAATAGTAATACTATAACAGCAACTGGAAAGATGTAAAATTTAGTTGGACAACAGTATGTGAACAAGCTTTTATTGGTATGAAGAACTAATAATTTATTAAAATAGGTGTGTATTGTTAATTGTTACCAATAATATGTATTATGTGTAATAATAAAAGTTTCCTTTGTAGTGAAATCGATCGTCTTAATAATGTACTAAAAAAACCGAATTAAATGTATACATTTATTAATTTTCTAAATTAAAATAGTATTTTTATTGTATAAGATATTGTAATAAAAAATCAGTTATGATTTTTTTTTTAGTACATGGTTTTTTATTAGGTAGTGCTTAAACCTTGTTTTAAATTAAAACTAAATCTTTTAAGCATAACAATTTTCTCTTCGGGTTAATCAGTATAATATGACTAACACGTTACAGTTTATAGTATAAAATGCAGGTTATACAAAACCCAAGAGAAGCAGTGTCATAAATCAACGGATAAAGTTGTTTTTGAAGAGTTAATTGTCTTATAATACTAGGCCGCTTACCTTCCACAACGATCTATGAAGTAGTTCTTACTGTCGAACTACAGTATAGGACAACTAGGATGCTGAATGCAAGACAAAATTTATGTATGACGACTGACGTCGGTACTTCAATACTTTACACACAATCGCTATTGTAGTGTTCGAAACTGATCGACACACGACGACAAAAAGCAAATAGATTTCTGGTGAAACGTACCTAGAACCGAGAGAAAATGATTAAAAACATGCAAGTACAACTACCGTGTTGTGAAAAACATTTAAATAATTCGTCAGCCGGTTAGGGGTGTACCACTCAGACCACGAGCATTTTCGTTGACATCGCGTCGCAAGTACATAAACCACTGGTTGTCAGCGAAAACTCATGTTATGACGTGGGTCTCAAAAACCATTCGGTACCTACGAAATATCGGATTATAATAGCTAGTAGACAGACTTTCGGATACGACTTTTTCGCCGACAGAGTACGGCTTTCGGATGGAATGTTTCGGAACGATCAATGCCCGTCGTTTTACTTTCAGCCAACCCTGTATAGGTAACGTAGTTTGGACGAAATATGTGAGTACGCGGTGGACCCGATGGATAAAAATCGGGTTTGGCGTCGAATACGAGGTTCTGATGTAGAATTTCGGATAGTTTAGGACCCCCGATTTGGCTATAGTTTTAATCGCGTTCGGGGAAAGAGTCGTATGGCGGTGCACACGTCAGGGTCGCGGGCCGCAGTACCTCGGACGACGGCTCGGCGGCCATATTTTGTGCGAGACCTCTGCGAACATATTATTTCAATGTTCGCGGAAAAAGAAACGTCGTACGATCGAGCGTTGTGCCGTCAACGTGTCAGGTTGTTGTTGGTTACACTTACGTGACAAAAAAATGGTGATCCAAAGACTAATTTTCTCAATGCAAGCGACGTGAACAAAAATTTCGATCATAGACGAAAAGAACGCCTTGTAGTCGAAAAATTAAAATGGCGACACGACACGAGCGGCTGTTTTTAGTAAAACCAGAGGTTCTCCGTTTGGTATTATTATTATTATTATTTTATTGCAGTACAGATGGTTTTCAGGCGGTATTTCATCGCATTTTAGTATACATTTTCGTAATTTTGGTTTTGTTGACTCGTTGGTATGTTATCACCATAGATAATAAATGATATCACAAATAATAACAATAATTTTGTGTGGTTATGTTATTATCGTCGTAAAATTCGTACCGTGGTTTGCGTTATAATATTTCCTGTGTTCACAATAACTTTGGTTTTGTAATTAACTCAAAATTAACGTAATTAGTCTAATGTTTACTTTATTATTATATTTTTTTTTTCACATTATATAGTACCTACATTACACGATTTGAAATTATAATATTAGGCGGGAAAACGTTTGGGACCCATACCGTAAAACGGCTGCTAGTGGCGTGTCCCAATTTTCCTGGACCGCACTATAGGAGATTTTGGGTGATAGATAAAGAACAAAATATCTATGGTTTTTTGGACATTTTCAGTTTATAGTTTTGTTTATTGTTTAAGAAGAATACAACATACGTTTAAGACATTGTAAAATCCGAGTGAATATTGTGTTTATATTTGGTTTATTATTAATAATTAATAATAATAGATATCCTTCGAAAAAAAGTTGAAGTATTAAATAATTATATCTATTATTATCCTTAAGATTGAATAAAATTGAATAAATTACCCAAATTAAAATGTTTTTACTTAATGGTAGTAAGTAAGTAATGCAGTAAGAATGATCTAGAAACCATTAGTTTTAACAAGTATAAAACAAGTACAAATAAATTGTGTATCTAATAATTATATTTTATGATTTCAGTTTGTGGCTCATACTGGATATAAATATCGAGGTGTGAAGGGTTGGACGAAAAATGTCGATATTTTTTCGAAAAGAAAAATTTTTTTTTCCAATCAATATTACAAGACGCGGTTTTGCTAACTGGATACTTGTGGTAGCTGATATAGAGAAGCAACAAATAATTTATTATGACAGTCTCAGAAACATTAGCCTATTTGTATGTCGTTATGATGTATTTGTATACTTGGCGCAAGAGCATCTAGCAAAGTTGCATACATCTCTACATGAAGACTACTGGGAAAGAGTACCTACCTACATGGTGTTAACCAATATCAACGAAACGTAGTAGATTATGGCGCATATATTTGTTCGTTTGCAGAATATTTATTTAGAGATGCTTCATTCAATTTCAGTCAAAACAATATGTCGTCTTTTAGGAAATTGATAGCGTATGAACTATGAACCTTTTACTCTACAATTAATACGTATCGTAGATGTAGATGAATCGGATATTGATGATGAAATAAATCGTAGAACTAATAATTTTTTATTTAATTTTTGGTTAGTACCTACCTATTATTTGTAAATAATAAAATATTAGTCTTAGACTCTTAAGCATTTAGTTTAATTATATCAGTGTAAAAGTTGTAGATATAAAATACATAAGCAATTGACTGGTACCTATAGTATTTATGTATATTTGTTAATTATTCTCTTAAAATGTTAAGTTAATATTATGATTAGTTTTATATTGTTTTATGTTTATATTGTGTATTTTTTTTTTTTGTAAACAATAATTTATATAAGGAGATAATAATATTTTTGAAAATATAAGAATGTCAAATGTCAAATATATGTTTGTATATTTAAAATGTCATTCTTCAAATATTGATTTAATTATATCTATAACTTTATAAGTTATAGATGAGAGTACAACATGGAGACATATTTTTGTTATTTACTCGTTCGTAGATATCTAACTCATAATATCTAAATAATCTGAACACATATGTTTCATTTAGTTACTTAATGTAATGATGTACATTTGAGAGTATTAGAAAATCATTTAGACCAGAAAAATAAGATGCTCACTGGTATTTTATATTATTTTTTTTAAAATTTCATGGTTTGATATAGAAATAATTGTGAAAAAAAGTATTTATACTTTCTAATATAGTTGATTTTGGAATAATAGTTGTTATAATATAAATAATTACTTTTAGATTCTAAGTTGAACGATGAATGTATTGATATTTTACAATGATGTGTGTTTTTTTTTATTTTTATTTTTATTTTTGTGTCTGTACACGATTAGTAGTCGAAATAATGCTTCAATTTTCAACTTCAGTAACTTGTTCGATGGGAAAGTGAATCTATTTGGTACTTCTGGGAAGTCAAAATTCCCAATAGTTTTCACAAGCGACAAGATTAACAAAAGAAAAATTAAGAAAAAACGGGAATTTTTACGCAAAATCGATTTTTCACAAAATTGAATTTGGTTTTTGGTGTCACTTTAAAACAAATGACCGTAGACACTTTAAATGTTCACTGGTTGTTTATATTTGCATTCTCTATACGCTATAACATATTCAAAATATTTTGATTTATTTTGAACTGTTTAGGGACATTTTCATTTACCATTTTTTTTTAGTTTTTTTTCTAAAGATATCAATAAAATTTTATTTATTGGCTGAACAAGCTTGAAAAATTAATAGAAGGCTCTTAGTATATTGCTTCAAAAGCAGATGAAAAATGTTAAAAATCCTTAGTCACATTTCTTTTTTTCTAAGCATTTAAAGTTCATAAATTGACAATATATGGAAAAATCACGAAAATTAGCAAATTATTTTGAGCTGAAAATTCGTAAAAATTTTTCTTTTTAAATCTAAGGTTTTAAAATGTAATACAAGATTCCTCATAAGTTTGTCTAACTTTATCAATAAAAAAATTTCTACTGGAAAGTCAAATTAAATTTCTATGAGCTTTTTAAATTCAAATTTTTACAACATTGGATATTCACTCGGTTACTCATGTAGCGATTTTCTTATTTTGTTGTTATTCAAAAACGAATAACTGTAGATGCATGAAAATTTCACTGAATGTTTATATTTGCATTTCCTATACACCATACAATTTTGAAAATATTTTGACTCCTTTTGAGCTGTTTACGGACATTTACAGCTTTCAATGTTTTTAGTTTTTTTTTTCTATAAATATCAATAGAGTTTTATCTGTTGGGCCAAAAAGTGTAAAAATTTAATACAAGACTCCTGATATATTGTTACAATAGAAATTGAAAAATA